CTCTCTCTCTCTCTCTCTCTCTCTCTCTCTCTCTCTCTCTCTCTCTCGTGTGTGTGTGTGTGTGTGTGTGTGTGTGTGTGTCTTCTTCTTAGCTGCCACATGGTGAGCAGATTTCCTTGATCATGTCCTTCTGCCATGATAATCCGTCTCACCTCATACCCAGAGTAATGGAGTTGGCTGATCACAGACTGAACCTCTGAAACCATGAACCAAAACAAACTTGTCCTCCTCTAAGCTGTTCTTTTCAGGTATTTTGATCATAGTAACACAAGGCTGACTAATACAAACCCTCGACATCATTTTGAATTTCCTATTATTAAATGTATTTCACATATTGAAATTGAACTCAGAAAATTCCTCACTTGCAAAAGGGACGCAAGGTTCCTGCTTGGTGTTGAGCACATCTAAGGGGCTTGGCATGTAAAGTGCCTTCATCTGGTGTTGGTTATGTCAATTAAATCTTCTCTACTCCATCCATAGGTGAAAGGTCTCTAAGGCATGGAAAGGAGCAATCACACAGTGACTGAGTTCATCTTGGTGGGCTTCACAACAGACCCTGTGATGCAGGTCCTCCTCTTTGTTGTGTTCCTTGGAGTGTACTCTGCAACCTTGGTAGGAAACACCATCCTCATAGCACTGATCTGTAATGACTCCAGGCTCCACACGCCCATGTATTTCTTCATTGGAAATCTGTCTTTCCTGGATCTCTGGTATTCCTCTGTCTACACCCCAAAGATCCTAGTCACCTGCATCTCTGAAGATAAAAGCATCTCTTTTGCTGGCTGCCTGGCTCAGTTCTTCTTCTCAGCTGGGCTGGCCTATAGTGAGTGCTATCTGCTGGCTGCCATGGCTTATGACCGCTATATGGCTATTTCCAACCCCCTACTTTATGCTCAGGCCATGTCAAGGAGATTGTGCATCTGTTTGGTTCTATACTCCTATACTGGGGGTTTTGTCAATGCAATAATATTAACCAGCAACACCTTCACCTTGGATTTCTGTGGTGACAATGTCATCGATGACTTTTTCTGTGATGTTCCACCTCTAGTAAAGTTGGCATGTGACGTGAAGGAGAGCTACCAGTCTGTACTGTTCTTCCTTCTGACCTCCAATGTCATTACCCCTACCCTGCTCATCCTGGCCTCCTACCTCTTCATCATTGCTGCCATCTTGAGGATCCGCTCCACCCAGGGCCGCCTCAAGGCCTTCTCCACCTGCTCCTCCCACCTGGTCTCTGTGACCTTGTACTATGGCTCCATCCTCTACATCTATTCTCGCCCAAGTTCCAGCTACTCCCTTGAGAGGGACAAAATGGTTTCTACCTTTTATACTGTGTTGTTCCCCATGTTGAACCCCATGATCTACAGTCTGAGGAACAGAGATGTTAAAGAAGCCCTGAAAAAGCTTTTCAAGTTGGCTCAATCCGAAGTCTAAATTGATACACTTTTTTTCAGATCACTGCTAAGCTATAAAACACTGCTCCTGGAGAAGAATGGGGAATTGGATCTTAAAATATTAAATTTATATTTAATAAAATTTAACACATTTTTTAATTTGTATTAGTTTCTTTGGTTTAGTGATTAGAATTTCTACTATTGATTATACATTCATTTTAATATTTGTATAATTTTCAAAAAGCAGTATCTGGGTTGAATGCAAAATATAAGTATGTTTATAATACTTCTAGAACACCAAAGATTAAATTTTACTTTATTCTCTCTCTCCTAATGTAGATCCAATTATTTCTCCCTACAAAGTATCATGGGTATATAAAGGAAACATAATATGGAATTATGTTGCTGGCTAAATAGTGTTTATTAAGTACTTGCAGAACTTCAATGATAGACAAACAAGGAATGTCAAGATTTTTGATGAAAAGAGACAAAGAGCATTGATGTGTAAGAAAATAAATGCAGGTAAAATTAAAGAGAAGAAATCTGAAGCTTATACAAATGACACAATGTTTACAACTATTTGTTGTAATATTTTTAAATTTAATGGATTATTTAAATGTGATAATTTCCTCTATTGCAATCATCTTTCAATGACAATGTTCTAACCTATGAGCTAGATGCTCCATGTAAGTAAAACTTAACTGACAGTCCTTTACTTATGCTTTTGGAAACGGTATTAAATAAAATATTAACCAAACCTGCCATGGAATAAATATTGAATTGTAAGCTGTTTTCATAATCAAATTGTTCTATGGAAAAATACTAGCACTGGGTCAAGATTATTGTCCTTTCCACCTGAACTTGCAGTTGGAATTTCACCAAAAGCTGTGATAGAGAATTTCCCCTAAGGAAGTACCCAAAACCATCCTGAGACAGCTTAGTGGGATTCCAAGAGAGAATCACCAATGGGTGGATAAATTTGCAGTATTCATTAGGGAACCTTAAAACAGGAGGGCTTCAGCATGTTCTTTCAAAGGACAGCAACATGGCGGATGTCATACCTAGTTGTTTCTACTGATGAGGATGAATTATTGAGTTTATATGAGAGATTTGGCTCAGGGTCAGGGTTCCCATGCATTCAGCAACATATTTGGTCATTCAGGGTTTCAGACAACAACCTACACAATTCTGTCAGTGCTGATGATGGTCAAGCCCCCCACTCTGTTTCAAGTGTCCTAGGAAAACGTGCAATTACTAGCCACATGGTTAGGCATCTTGTGTCAATTGGCCAGGACAAACGAAAAAGCAAAGAGAGCTGGGGACCATACTGTTAAAGATTTTTTCACTGTCGCTATTGATTTACTTCATTTAGTTTGATGTTGTTCTTTTCTACTAGTGGGGTTCCATGGCTGTGTGACTTAGGGGAGAACTATGAAGTACTCACTCACCCAAGGAGAGAACACTCTTGGAGAAAGATATACAGTCCTAAGGACATGTATTTCTCCATGGATTTAGAAAGGATTTTGCGGGTTACTAGTTGTTGTTTTTTTAATCTAAACAACTCCTAAATATTTTGAATAATGTCATATTGATGTAGAGGGAATGAGGTTTACAAATATAGTTTCTTTACACTCAATTAGAGCTTTATGAAGGAATTTACAGGAAACAGATTACTAAAAATAATTATTTGTAAAATCTGGAGCAAACGTTCAGGACTCTCGCCGTTCCAAATCTTCTCCTCACCTAGTAATGTTTGTTTATTAAGTTTCCAAATTAAACTTTATGCTGAGAACTATGAAATTTCCTCTTTCTTTTCACAAAATCTCCCAATGACAACTAGCAAAATGAGTTTTATGAAAACTCTAGTACTGCAAAGAAGCAAAATAACATTGTGGAGTATTAAAAACCAAGTACTGCAAGTTAAGAATAGTTCATATCATGAAAAAAAATAATACTTTGAGGTTTTTGTTTGATACCCCATTGTTTAAAGTATCATTTGTTGAATTTAAATGAAATACAGAAATGGGTACACATGTGTCTACATGTCAGTTATTTGGAAAATAACAAAATTCAGCCACAAAACAACCTTCATGCTTGTGGTCGTATGATCTGGGTTGCTTTCCTGAAGGCCTCTTTGACATCTTTGTTTCTCAGGCTGTAGATGAGAGGGTTGAGCAGTGGGTTTAACACAGTGTAAAACAGAGCAGCCACTTTGTCTTTCTCCAAGGAGTAGGTGGAACTGGGCCTTGAATACATGAAAAGCAAGGATCCATAGAAGAGCATGACGGAGACCAGGTGGGAAGCACAGGTGGAGAATGCCTTGCGCCTTCCAGAGGCTGAATGGATCCTCAGGATGGCCAGGAGGATGTTGAAGTAGGAAATGAGGATGGCGAGAATGCTAGAGAGAACAGTGAAGCCAACCACACCCAGAAGGACTTTTTCATAGACCCGAGTGTCGGTGCAGGACATTTTTACCAATGGTGGTGCATCACAAAAAAAATGGTCAATGATATTTTTACCACAGAAACTCAGGCGGAAGGTGTTGGCAGTGTGGGCTATGGCATTCAGAAAGCCTCCTATGTAGGATCCAGCAACAAGCCCAATGCAAACAGAAGCAGACATGGTGCCTGAATAAAGCAGTGGGTTACAAATTGCTGCATGGCGGTCATATGACATGGCTGCCAGGAGATAGCACTCAGTGTAGGCCACAACACAGGAGAAGAACAACTGAGCGCCACATCCAGCCAAGGAAATGCGCTTATCTTCTGAGACACAATTGGCCAGGATTTTGGGGGTATATACCGAGGTGTACCAGAAATCCAAGAAAGACAGACTGCCGATGAAAAAGTACATAGGTGTATGCAGGCGGGAATCGATCCTAATTAATATAACCAGGGTCATGTTCCCTGACAATGTCACCAAATAAAGCACCAGAAATATTACAAATAGAATCGGCTGCCACCTGGGGTCTGCTGAGATGCCCACCAAGATGAATTCAGTCAGGACGGTGCGATTTCCCACTTCCATGTCCACAAAGGGGAAATCCTGAATATTGTTACCAGGGAATAAACATCACTTAGTGATTTTTTGTTTTGAAACAACATAACAAGTATATCAATTGGATCATCAATTTCTAAGAAGTAATTTCCTTTCTTACTGTCTAGAATTTTAGAACTTCAGTCTGACTTGGAAAGACCATCGGGATAGGTACAAAAATTATTTTAAAATTAGGTAATTCACTTACCATCTTTAATCTAAAACAAGTCTCTTATTCTCATAAAACAGACAAAACAAATGATATTCATGAAAATGATGAATAATTTCCTAGAAGATTGTCTAAGTAAAAAATATATAGGAGAAAACACCAAGGTCAAGTTTTAATAGATAGTTGGCTCTCAAAACAAATTTCAGTATCCTTCGACAGATCTTGGAGAATTTCTTGTGTGTCAAGGATTGTGTCAAAGTATATTATACTAACCCTCCTACAATTAGTACAAATAGAAAAATAAATACATTTCTGAGCATATACCAGTTTCTATTCATAGACCTATACTTAATTTAACTGACTTTATTTTCAGAACAACCTTATAATTTAGGTGGCATTATGCTCTTCATGATATAATGGAAGAAACTGAATCATAAAATGTTCAAGTCACAGAGCAAGTCAATAGAAGAGCTAATATTTGAAACCAGAGCTTGTTTAATCAATAGTCTATGTTTAGATACCAGCTTATAACTAGAGAGGAGTGAAAAGTTTTGGCATGCTATTGTACAGTAGAGTGATCATAGAAATTGACAATGCAAAAAAAAGACAAAAAGAAGGATTTTGAATGTTTTACCTTAAAGAAATGATAAATGTTTGGGGAGATAGATGTGTTTACCCTACCTTAAACATTATACAAATATATACATGAAAATGTCACATGGTACTGCATAGATATGTATAAGTTCATGTTTTTATATGTCAGTTAAAATAAATTTAAGTTTAAAAATTAAAAAATAATAAAAAATGAAAGAAGAACATCTGCTCTCCACCACTATCATTTCTCTCTCTTATGGGTGAATACTAGTTTTCTCTTGTGTTCGCCTAATTAAGGCAATGCCATAGCCCTCTTTCAACCTAAAAAACTCTTACAACTAACTTTCCTCCAGCTGAGGAGTTTTGTATGCATAGTTCAGGCATTTTCTGATGTGGTAGATGCTGAACAATAAAAAGAACCCAATTTGGGGTGGCAAGGCACTGAGAAACCACAAATCATTTAAATTTCATATCCTGAATCTCAAGAGTTCTCAGAAGCTAAGAAGAGGTGTCTAATTAGTTAATTAACTAGGTACTAATCAGTTACTAATTAGAGTGACTATAGTTACTAATTAGTTAATAATTAGTTAATAATTAGAGTAACTCTATTTCCATATTCAAAATATTTACCTTCCAGAAAAACTAGTCAGTATTTTAAGCAGAAATGCAAATTCAAGTCCTCTACTGCTTCATTTACCCACTGTTGTTTATTTCTAGGAAGGAAGGTATGAATGGCCTAATATTTCAAACATAGGAAATGATGCTCAGTGATTTGATTTGATACTAGTGTAAACAATTCAGTTTGAAAACCTAAAGACAAGTCCACCTCTTTCACTCTTAGTATATAACCAGTGTCTTTCATTAATACTTAGAGTACAGGCACTTATGTCCCACACCCAAGGTTCCAGAAGTGGGTTTTAACTTACTTTTATGACCCTATAGTCCACCAGTTCTCATCACCTAAGACTTCACTGTACAGGATCACACCCGTGATTCATCATTCAATAATGATATCTCATTTCCTCAGAGCCCCACAATTAACTCTACAGTGCTGTGCCATCATTCATTTGCATGCTGAAATTTTTATTCCAACTGTGATCAAGTGTGAGCAGAATTATGGTGGCAGGAATTCATGGTTAGCTTTTGCTACATTTGTTTTTCTGACTTCAAGAGGCAAATAATTAATATAATAAATTGTCTAGTCTACTGGTCATCAATTTCCCAGAAAATGAACTTAAGGA